GGTGCTGTGAGCTTTGTCTAAAATCTGATGTCAGATGTATGTGATGAAGCTAATTTCTGCTGTATCAACTGAGAAGGCAAATGCCACATTGAGGATGGAAGGACTAACGAGTGAAGAACATTTCATTTATTTTCAGGTTATGCATAATTCGCAATGATTACTGAAGTTCTGTCCCACTGTAGCACTTGTAATTTGAAATCTCCTTTTGAGTGCTTAATTCGGTCTTATATTCTTTTCAAGAGAGTAGTAATAATGGACATTCCACTAGGTTTGGAGTCAAGTAGTAAAAATGATAACATTAATTTGGTTAATGTTCTACAGCTTTGTAGACACATTAACCTTATTATCTGTTTTGGAGACCTGAGTGTGAGTGCCCACTCTGCCATATACTTGCTATGTAACCTTAGACAAGTTGCTTAATCTCTCTGAGCTTTAATAATTAACTGAAAAACGAAGATAGTATCTGTTTTACTAACCTAATCAGAGGAAATCATATGATGGACTCTTACATGGTATCATTTATCTCCTCAACCAAGTTAAATGTTTTCTGAGGGAGGGACTGTTTATTTTTTATCTTTGGGACATTGTGGCTTATAGTTGACATTCAGTAAAAACTTGTTAACTTTTGTGGAACTTTCATTGAATAATTTTTCTCAAAGATGATTTTTTAAATGAAAAAGATGGTAATCTCCTGTGAAAGATACTGTATTATAAATTCAGTACCTTTTTAAGTCTTAAAGGCTCACTGCTAAACATAGGTACTCATGGAGAAAAGTTTTAGATATCTGTATTGGCTGTCTCCCCAGGGAAGTCTCCCACAGAAACTGACATAAACACATAGGATGTACTTAATAAATGTTTGTTGAATAAAAATTGCAGTCTTTTGTCCCCCACACACCCGTTCTTTGACCTCATGAGAAATCTTTATAAGGGTAGCTATATCCAGGTAACTAGAGATCCCAGAAGCTAAGGGGTTCCAGAAGACTAACTGAGAAATTACAGTCATAGACTGTTATTGAAGATACATTGATCCTAAGAAAAAACAATGCAGTGAAGTAATAGCCACTCTTACGAATTCCTATTATGTACTTGACATATGTTGTTCCAGGTCTGTTAATATATACGTTCAAACTCTTTTCTTCACTGTCTTCATTGTAAGAAACTCTTGGAGAAGTACCTATCCCAGGGTCACAGAAGCATGAGGAAGCAGCCCTCAACAATATTGGTCAGTCATCTACAATCTCAGTCATTTGTAGAATGAGGAACTTCATGTAGGTGACCTCTGATTCCTTCCATCTCTAATATGATAAATTTATTCACTTGATAGACCCAAATACTACTCAAGAAATCTCTTCTTAAAAGAGATTTCGGGCGCCTGGGTGGGTCAGTTGGTTAAGCGACTGCCTTCGGCTCAGGTCATGATCCTGGAGTCCTGGGATCGAGTCCCACGTCGGGCTCCCCTGCTCAGCGGGGAGTCTGCTTCTCCCTCTCCCGCTCCCCCCCTTGTGCTCTCTCTCTCTATCTCATTCTCTATCTCATTCTCTCTCTCAAATAAATAAATAAAATCTTAAAAAAAAAAAGATTTCAATATCTTTTATTTTGTAATTAACAGAGGCTACTTAAACTAGAAAATAGTCAAGAATGTTCATTTATTAAGTTTTATTAAAGGTGTTTAACCTAAATTTAACCTAAAGGTAACTTTAGGTTTGTAAAATATTTAGTGGACTCTGTTAGATATTAGTAAAGTAAAAAAATTTAAATGACTTTAAGTGTCAGTTTTTAGTTCCCCCCCCGAACCCCCATGACTATTTTAGTTGGGGTTTGTGTTTGGGGGTTGGGGGATGATGGCAGATTTTGTTTTGAGTATAGCCAGGTTGGCAAATTCACCTAATGAGTTATCTTTCCATTTATACACTTGCCTTCTAAATGCAAGGAAAATTCTGTCTGTATTCTAAGACAACAAGAAGAAACCTGTATCACAATGTTTTTTATATTTACATTGAGATCAGACCCTGAATTCTTTTGTGGAAAAGATTCTACTTCTTCAAAATCTTGTGCCATTTCAGCATTGTTGATTTTTTTTTTTTTTTCAATGTCTCTAACCTTTAGATGTGGATCTAAGCGCTTCATTTACTGTTTCAGCTCTGGTGAAAGATAGGATGGAGGGCAAGGGAGAAGTGACAGAATTAAGTGACTTACCTCAGAATGCAAGTTCCCTAAGGGCAGGAACTTTGTCATGTTCACTGTTCTGTGTGCAGGACCAAGAACATTTGTTGAATGAGCAAGTGTTAAGTCTGTCTGCCCTTACCATTGTGGTTGCAGCTCAGAGGAATTTTCATTGCAGAAATCCTCCTTTGGAACCTGGATCTCATGTTCATTGTGACGGGCTGGTTCGGGAATAGTTGAAATAACGTTCATTGGGGTGTCATCTGGATTTTTGTCCTTTGTGTGGCTATCACTGCTCCAGGGAAAGGTGGCCAGTTTTGGAGAAAGTTTACTCATGGGTAACTTTGGAGAACTCTCTGACTTCTCCACTTCTTTTCCTCCTGAAAAATATAATTATTTACCACCTCAGATAGAAACAGAATCTTCCTCCTCCTCTTGGGTGAACTGGAGCAGGGAGATCCTGAAAAGAATTACCTGGGGAAACAAAGAGTCTTGCTGTGGAGACTGCAGTCCCAGCCTCATTTTCTGCAATGCACTTGAATTCCCCAGAGTCTTCAGGAAATACTTCTGTGATAATCAAGGTGCAGACTTCCTCTGGAAAGGCAAGAGATTCAACTTGACCAGAGTTTTGGGAGATCCCATATTAACAAATAGTGTGGGAGGATGTCAGGGAAAGTCGGTACTAGGAATAAAGAGTATTTCTGAGATTTTTAAACAATCCATCAGATTAGACTTTTTGTCTTTGAGTGGGCTCCTGAAGATAAATAAAAAATGCAACCTAAAATAATCCCAGCAGAGTCCCTATCACCTGTCTCTTTGACACATCTCTTTACTATAATGTGAGTTCCTTGAAAGCAGGGATTACACTTTATTCCTTGACTTTTAGATTTCTGTAGCTTTAGTGCTTAGCATCAGGTTCCTATAGACAGATTTTCTGAGCTGACCTAAAAGTTATCATTGCCAGGATAGTTCGATAGTGCAGTGATAGCCACATTGTGATGGGCACTACACCTACTTCTTGGACAGTCAACAACTTGGATGTTTGATGTCAGCACGCCTCCTCACTGCCTCTCTGTAGAGTTCACGAGTCATAGATCAGAGGATGGATGCATGCTCTGCGAGGGCAGGGACCTCCTTAGTGCCCAGAATGGAACGTGGCCATTGTCTGTACTATGTTGAGTGAATGAATAGGTGAATAAACACACTGACAAATCCCAGTTATCTTGCTGCTTTTGTTCTGTCAGTTCGAGTTGTTATAGGGTAGCCTCAAAACCGCTCATGATGGCAAAAGTGATTTGGGAGACAGTCTTCTGATGGTAATCTTGATTTAATCATTTATTATCAAGATGTTGAAAAATTGGGGGTGCCTGGGTGGCTTAGTCAGTTAAGCATCTGCCTTCGGCTCAAGTCATGATCTCAGGGTCCTGGGATCGAGCCCTGCTTTGGGTTCCCTGCTCATCGGGGAGTCTGCTTCTCTCTCTGCCCCCTTCCCCCCGCTTGAGCTCTCTTTCTCTCTCAAATAAATAAATAAAATCTTAAAAATAAAGATGTTGAAAATTGTGCTTACCGGGAATGGATGATAAAGAAGCTTCTGGAAGATAAAACAAGGGAATAGAGAATTTAAAAGATGACGGTTAATTTAATTGGGAGAAGGGGCCATGTGTATATGATAAATAACTTAAATAAATAAAGCACATACAAGGTTGACTGTAATGTAGAGTCACAGACTATAAACTCTGTAGAATCCCAGAAAAGATACATGATGGAACGAACACTTGGCAGGGGGCCAGAAGAACTGTATTTTTGTTCTCTTTAGCCCTGAATTGCTCTGTGATTTTGTGAAAATTCTTCTCTGGCTTTAGTTCTTCATCTCTAACATGAAGAAAGTATCTGTTCTCTGAATGGAAACCATTACTGAACCCCTGGTCCTGTGGTGCTCTCTTTCTCCCAAGAAAATCTTTTTCTTTTAGTCTCTCTAATGAAAATAAAGTTGAATATTTCATTATAAACATACTATAGTATTACTGTAGAAAAACACATAAAAGGATAATAGTTTGGGTGGTGCGGATGTGGGTGATTTAAAATTCCTTCTTTATGCTAATGCCACATTGTGTAATAGAGGTTTTTCTTCCTGGATGTGATGTGCAAGTGTTCATTTGTGCTGCGTCAATATTTAAATATATTTTCTTTGCTTGGGGCAAGAACTATTTTGGGCTTGGACTCTGGCTGCAGCATTTATTAACGTTGTAACCTTGGGCAAGGCATTTAGTATTTCTGATTTCAGTTTTCTTATAAAATGGAAATAACAATGCACACTTCAAAATGTTGATGTGAGGATTAAATGAAAGGTTGCTTATAAACTCAGTGTTTAGCATGAAGTAGATCATCATACTTGTTACACTTCCCTGAGTTTATTATTTGGTAGGAAACAAATAATAAAGTATTTAGAAAGCTGTACATCATTATTAATTTGTTTTATTCTTTAAAAAATATGTTTATTCTCACATTTTTTTTCTTGTTTGTATGCCAAGAACTCATTAGCAAGATAATTTATGAAAACAAACCAGTCTTTTCACAGCTATTAAAACTATTGTTTCATCAGAGAAAAACAGCTATCTTTTCTTTTTTGTTTCGAGGAATCATTTGAATTTGAAATCATAATTGTTTAACAAAAATTTCTGAGCCTGTAACAAGTCAGCTATTAAACTTTGAAACATGAATTAGATTTCAAGGTTAATTGAAATACAAAGCAAATCGAAAAGCTTATCACAATACTTCTCCTCAGAATCTGGAAGTCCTCAGAGTCTGCTATCTGCTCTTTCTCTCTGTACCAGTGAATTTGAACTGTGGTTGTTGCCTGGACTCGGCATTCAAATGCGACAAACTGACCGCTGGTTGTCGAAATGTCTTGAAGATGCTGAAGAACAAATACAGAATTCACAGAATGGAAGAAACTTTCACCATATGCAATGATTTGGGATGCCATTGGTAGTAAGTATGCTTTTCGCCATAATTATTGACAACTGACTGTACTTTAATCAAAACAAGGAGTTGCTGGGATTCTTCTGTGCTTTATAGTGTGCTTTACAGTCATGTGTTAGTTATTTTTATCTTAATTTCACAAAGTTGTTGCTCACTTCGCCAAGAGCCATGTTCAAAATAGGAAACAGAGTAGTTGAAAACTCTTACCTTTGTTATATGATTTTGTTGAGTACATGGAGAGTCATAGATTTAATCTTTATTATCAGTCAGATAGTGTGGGCAGCATTGTATTTTTTAAGGATTCTGAATCATGACTTAGAGGACTTGGACCAGAATCTCAACTCTGCCACTAACTGGTTGAAGCTGATCGTAGGAACTTGGAAACTCTTAACCTCTGTGGAACTCAGGTACTTTATCTGTGAAATAGGGCTAGCGAAATGCTCAACCTTTTTTTAGGTTTTGAGGCTCATTTCCGATAAATTGAACATTTAGAGTGAAGAGTTATAATGTTATATCAAAAGCATAAAAATAGGTGGTTTGGTCTCACAATGCATTGATGAATGGGTGGCATTTGTAGTAAATATCCCCCTTAAACCCTGATCTCTCTTCTCTCCTGTTTTCAGCTAGAGTCCTCTAGAATCTAGAATTACATTTCAAGTTATAACTTGGCTGAGAAGGAGTATCTGAGGTCCTTCTATCAGGTGAGACACAGTGACCACCAGCCCAGCCCTTGCGGCCTGATGCCCAGGGCTGCATATCTTCGGGAAGGAATGCAGCAGGAAACTTGTAGAAATAATAGACCCATGTAGCTGACAGCCTGGGCTGCAAGCAAGCTTTTGGAATCTATAGCAGGGCTCCTTATTCTTAATGACATTTTTTCCTGACTCCCATCCTGTACTTGGTACAGGTTAAATCTTTGTCCTGCTTCTCATACTCTGGGCCAGCAAGAAGCAGTGGTTCCAGTTCTCTCAGGTTTGGAAACTGGGCGACAGTGAGCCCAGAGATTTCAACCTTAGTTTGGTTTGACCTAGTTCATTGATTCCTGCTCTCTCCAGTGGATGATACGGGAGCCTTCTTAATCCTGATCACTCTCTGTTACCCAAGCAGGAAATAGATATTGTTTTGCTTATTGGCTTAGTCAGAAGGGCATCTTATGACTAGTTAGGAGAATCAGATGAACCTTGAGGTCAGGTAGAGCATAGTCTACTTGGACAGGACAGTCTGAGCATTGCCCTTGAGAGCTGGAGATTGGTGTAGAGCAAAAGTCTAAAGAGTATAGGAAACCCTGAGTTGCTCTGTGACATTGAACAGTAATTTCACCCCTTCTGGGACTCACTTTTCTCATACATAAAATAATAATTTCTGAGGTTCTTTTTAGTTTCCCCTTTTCCTTCTCACCCGTATGATGACATCTACAATTTATCTATAAAATCCTAACTCTACCATGCAGTATGGATAGGTTACCTTGGTGAACACAGGGGTTACAACACAGGTGGGTCCGGACAGGCTGCTGCAGGGACTCTGCATCTGGTTTAAGAAATAGAAGAGACAGGAGCGCCTGGGTGGCTCAGTCGGTTGAGCATCTGCCTTTGGCTTGGGTCATGATCCCCGGGTCCTAATCCCGGGGTCCTGGGATTGAGCCCCATGTCCGAGAAGTCTGCTTCTCCCTCTGCCCCTCCCCCTGACTCATGCTCTCTCTTGCTCACATGCTCTCTCTCACTCAGTCAAATAAAATCTTAAAAAAAAACCCCCAAAACTAGAAGAGACACTCTCATCCATACTGTCAAGGCCCTGAAACCTAGAAGCATGGTGCCCGTGAACCAACAGAATCAGTTTTAGTGCTACCAACCACACCCCAAGTGTCCTCTTTAAAAAGGATAATGCTTCTAATTTAAATCTCATTTTGGGTATCTGCTCCAGTGCCACCCTTTTTTTCCCTCTGTCCTCCAGCATTCCATCAGCTGAGATGGTGAAATACAGCGCCAAGCAATTACACTTGAGAGATGAATTTTGACACTTATTTAGAGACTGTATATAAAAGGCATAAATAACTTGTAAATTTTACTGACTAGATTTTTTTTCCCCTTCTCTATACAGTTGCTCTTGTTTGTTAGGTTTTTGTAAAACATCTCCCCCCCGCCCCCGCTTTTTAATTAAAAGGGAATTCATTCCGTGGATAGTTGGAATACTCTGTTATGGGCCTGAACTCCTAGAAACCAACTGTGGCTATGGTTTGGCACACAGACAAATGGCCAACCCACAGAACTACCATGGAGTTATTTCTGAGACCCATGGATTTCTTTTCTTGTTCTATTTGAGGTTATGCAATTGTAGGCTTTCCTCATGTATACTTTCAAGAAAGTTGCATTGATTCCTTTTTCTCTGGGCCTGTTTCTCCACACTGGAGCCCCTAAGAAGGCTTTTAAGACTGAACATACCCGGGACGCCTGGGTGGCTCAGTTGGTTAAGCAACTGCCTTCGGCTCAGGTCATGATCCTGGAGTCCCGGGATCGAGTCCCGCATCGGGCTCCCTGCTCGGCAGGGAGTCTGCTTCTCCCTCTGACCCTCCCCCCTCTCATGTGCTCTCTCTCTCTCATTCTCTCTCTCAAATAAATAAATAAATAAAATCTTAAAAAAAAAAAAAAAGACTGAACATACCCTTTGGGGGTCAATACACAATGGTTGAACTAAGGTAGAGTAACTTGATCTGATGTTGGAGGTTTCGTTAACCAGGGAACTGATGGTCAAAGAAACTCTAGTGGTTTTCTTCTTTATCCTGTTGTGGAAACAAAACCAAACACAGTCCAGTGAAAGAAAGATTAGAGTCAGCTTTGATAGAAATGCCTCACTGTATTCATTTGGCATGAATCACATTTTTACTTCTAATCCTTATTTTTTCTTGATTTGCATAATAATTTCAGTTTTTTCCTTTTGATCAGTTAGTGGATTATGGCTCCTGATAGTTTTGCTTTAAATTTCCTTTGTCTTGTCTGATAATCAGTGAGCTGTTACTAAACACTTATGCAGAAGAAATAATTTATAAAGCAAATAATCACTTTAAAATTTGGAACATTTTAGGGGGGTTTTTTTTGGTGTATTTTTTAAAGTAGAATTTCCCCTATATTCATATGGCAACAAATGCACATTCACATGCACATTCTGTACTTACTCTGACATTTCTGTAGCATATTCCAAGCACAATCACAGAGAGAAATGTTTTCTTCCCCCTTCCCTTGTAAGAAAGAGAAAAAAGAAGTTCTGTCTAGATCTCACTGGCATTTAATAAAATTTAGTTCGCCTGTATTGTATGCACAGTAGGACTAGCAAATTAGTTAGTTATGGGCAACAGGTCAATCCAGAACATCTGAATTTTTGACTAAGTGTGGAACTACTTTAATATTCTCAGTTTAAAAAATCCAGACGTTTACCTTTACAGAGCTATAGTGGTTGCACCCAGAAGAGCTATTGAGTCATTTCCCCAAAACAATATTTTATAGGGCCGATATTGTTGTCTTGTGAATTTGTGTTTTGGTCGGAAGTCTTCAGCATATTTGTTATAATAAAAAATCTGTTGACACATTGCTGTGTTGAAGGATGTTGTCAATCTTCATATTATCTCTGTGAGTACTTAGTAGAGAAGTCTATCTCAGTTCTTAGTATCAAGAATAATCAGGGGGCGCCTGGGTGGCTCAGTCAGTTAAGTGTCCGACTCTTGGCTTCTGCTCAGGTCATGATCTCAGGATTGTAAGATCAAGCCCCACGTTTTGCTCTACGCTCAATGTGGAGTCTGCTTGAGGTTCTCTCTCTCCCCCTTCCTTCACCTATGCACCTCTGTGCACACACACACACTCTCTCTCTTGAATAAGTAAATAAAACCTTAAAAAAAAAAAGAATAATCGGGCTTCTGTGTTACAACTTTAGTTTTTCCTCACAGATACTACAAATCTTAGTATTGATTATATTTCCTCTATGTTAGGTATTTGAAAGTCTAGTGCTCATTATATAGCCAGGAATTCAACAGAGTTTGGAGTCAGGATCTCCTAAATTTGTAACCTGATATTTTTTCCACATTATGTCTGTGATGATTTATTTACCCAAACCAACATTTAGATCACATGACATCATGAAGAACTTTTATGTTATTTCCAGGTAGAAGAGATAGATTGGAAGATATAGATTAGCCTGAATAACAAAATACTATAATTTTCAGAAAGCCATTGTCTTATGGAAATAGAGTATTTGAAATTGTAAATATTCCAGGAAACCTAGTCTCTAGCGTCACTTTATACTACAATGCTTTAATGAAAAAAAAATTATTTCCTACTTAAATCTTTTACATACAGTGTTTGATACCATGCTTTTGGATTAGATTTATCTAATCTTTTAATCTTAGTGTATAATCTCATAATTCTTAGTGGCTTTTTCAGTCTTTAAAAATTTCCTTATCTTGAAGTTTCATAACCATTTTGTGCTAATTTGCCTTAGGCTAAAATTTCAGCCATGTATACAAAAGATTTGCTAATACTATTTCATGCTTCATTTCTTAAGGTGGACAGTGGCTACAGAATGTACGTTTTATTTATTTAAAATGTGCAAATACTCAGGTCATGATCTCCTGAGTCGTGAGATTGAGCTCCACATCTAGCTCCACACTGAGTGGCGTCTGCTTGAAGATTCTCTCCCTCTGCCCCTCCCCTCACATGTGCTTGCGTGTGTGCACACACACACTCTCTCAAATAAATCTTTAAAAAAAATAAAATGCCCAAATACATTATATTTACTCATGTCTATGTGTATAGTATTTCATAATTTGTAAGATTAAAAAAATCTGTGAACTGGAACTGCCCCCCTTTTTTAAGGGTAGTTGTATTTTTTATTTTCAAAGTACAGATAGAATTATTCTTCGGTAGTTCAGAAGAAGATAGGTTCTGTCAGTGTACATATGCTAAAGGAATTGCAAACATGCATAGATTACCTTTATGTCCAAAATTGGGCAGAGAGTCTATACC